GTTCTCGTATTGTTCTTAATCCTCAAGGGAACGCAAGACAATAGTCTAGTTCTCTCGAACAATACGAGAACGCTACGAAAACGGTACAGTGTAAACGCTGCCTTAGTCACGATCAGAAAATAGAAATGGCTTCCATATTAAGGGCGAGGTTAAGGAATGCAGTAATACTAAAAAATGCATTAACATGTAAGTAAACATAGCAACGCTTGTCAATCAGTCGCAAGTTACATCGAATTTCAGTCCGAATTTTACTTGAACGAATTTCGAAGTGAATTTCTGCAAATTAAGGTACGTTTACACGCTGCGATTTGTCGGGCCGATTTTGCTCGCTGTATGTAAATAACCTGTCGTGAGTACTCGCGTCAGCACCTTGCGATTCACAAAATCGGGAGAAAAATCTGTAACAAAACACAGATGCAAAACACTTCCGTTGTAAAATTGTTGAAAACTTTTCGCACGCAGAAAACTATAATATAAACAGACGAGAGAGCGGACAGCTTCAATTGAACGTTTAAATCGCTAAATGTCGAAGAAGGGGCATTGATTATTTACCAAAATCGGCCCGACAAATCGCAGCGTGTAAACGTAGCTTAACTGTTCCGAAGGAAATCTTGCCAAAACGATCTACTCCCTCAAGGCCTACTCGATCATCTTCCAATAACAGTGTTATCTCGTACCGTCCTCGTAGATGTAAGACAGCCACCTATCAACGGTCATTTTTTATTAGAGCAACTAGAACCTGGAACTCCTTACCCGAACACTTAAGGAGGCTCCCTACAGTTTCCAATATATATCAGTGTTTTAAACTAAAAGCTATTTGAATCCAAAAAAACTAATTTTTTGCACAAGCTATTGTCTCCTCTTATATAAAAAGTAATTACAAATGACAACATGACGTCACCATCTATATGGCCTATATCAACCAAAGGCTAAATGCAATTTTAAAGGCTGAAATTCAGTATCTCGAAAACTACACTGGCGATTTTCAAGTTGATATAGGCCATATAGATGGTGACGTCTGTTGTGATGGTAACGTGGAGAGTAGCGATTGTGGGTTAAAATGACTCTTTTATATAAGAGGAAACAATGGGTTGTTTTTTTAGATTCAAATAGCTTTTTATAGTTAGAACACTAACATAAATTGGAAACTGTAGGGAGCCTCCTTAAGACTAGATCATTTATCTCTAACGTTATTTAAAAAGTCACTATTAGAAATTTAGAATACTACCATAATGCCCTTGTATCTTGTTACGACGTGGATGATGCTCGAACCTGGAAAACTGTTTGCCTGAAGTGCAACACATCGCGTAATCTAATCGATGCCGATCCCTGTTGCTACTAGACTAATTAGTTGATTTTTTTTCGTCTGTATTTTGTCACTAATTCTAACTAAAGGGCCCACAGTAATTGGTGTAAACTGTTGTGGTGTCCCCGCCTCTTTTTATGTCTCGTGTATATGAATTGTTGTGCTTGTATTGTGTACGTTTTTTGTCAAGGCGAAGCTAAATAAATAAATAAACTACACTTTTGTACAACCGGCTTAACTACGTGATTAAAGTTAACTATTTTTTAAGGCTTTTTAACTACTTTTTAACTGCAGTTAGCGCTAACTACGTTTTTATACAACCGGCCCCAGATGTATTTCTCGTGTTATCGTGAGATATCATGTTCAACACTCAAAATAAATCTGGTATTTCCGCGCACCCATGTATTATTCTCTATGTATTTATATATCTACTCAAGTGAACGCTATTATAATAATATATTGTGTTTATAGAGTTCACTGCGGTACTCTCATTACCAATCCTCTGCAGTCCACCGCCCACCTGACCGCCCACTATATAACTGCTCAGGTTTGGATGATATCAGGAGTAGCGCTTTTCCAAAGAGAAGCAATACGCTTTAAACATAACGACGAGACGCGTTTGCCCAACCAAAAGCCAAACAAGCTTCCAAGAAATAACCCGATTATTGCACCGCCAAAGGGAATAGGTATGAATATCTGACCAATAAACATTCCTGCGACACTTCCAATAAATTTAAACAAACCTGTAATTACCAGACCAACAACTTCCTGGATAAACGCTTCTCTGGTTATTACTTCACTTTTCCACTTCTGTTTTGTTTTCCAAATACTGTACACCAAGGAAACAACATCGATTACCAGTGGCACAACCACTCCAGCAGTACACCCTATCAATGACAAGCTTTCAATGCCTTCCTCTGCTATCACATTCCCCAGACAAGAACATCCCATATCTTGCTCAACAATCTCCACAATCACTTTCGGAAGGTTTTTACCAAGTTGATAAAACGACACAAGACCGCCATTGACGACTTCTAACACTTTCCTTAACCAGGGTTTAGCAGACTGCAAGCTAGTGTTCCTGCCACATATACACCACATAACAAAAGATTCACAATTATTTTTTTCCAAATCGTAGTCCTTTTCACCTAACCTTCCCTTGGCTCTTTTACTGACCTCTTGGTCAGGATAGCATTTCAGTTCATCTGGCCAGACAACTCTTTCGACTTCGGCTCCTTCTTTTTGTAATTCGCTTTCGCTTTCAACAAGGTCCTTGTGCGGCAAGGTTATTTCTTTTATGCTAGCAAGTTTTCCGCCACAACAACCCGAGCCAAACGAGCTAGTTGACAAACATTCACCGCTTGCGTTGGAAGATGTATTATGATAATGGATAATCGTTCGTCGACCATCGCTTTCCAATTTGGTGCAAACAAAATGATGGTAGTACAACACTTTGCCACACATGGATGTCTTTTTAATCAGATGATCGCCTACTTTTATGTCCGAGAACCTTTCGACCGGCTCTCTTTTCTCTAGTTTCCGTTGAAGAAGAGCAAGTTGTTCTTTTTTTGGTAATTGCTCAATTTCCTCCCAAGATTTCGGTTCTGTGGCTGTAGGCATTTCGTAGGTCAATTATCTAAATACGAGTAAGTAAAATTTTAAATACATGTGCTTGGATATTATGTCATAATTATTCACGTGCACTAATAAGAGGGTGTATATCTCTATTCCAGGTTGTCCCTTGAAATGTTGAAATTCTGGGAAAATTTTTGCGTGCTATTGAGGCATGGTAATCACCAATACTCTCGATATGTTATCAAGTGTTTTTATCTTAAAAAAATGACATCCTTAAGTGTTCTATTGCATTAAACTGGTGTTTAATTAATGACTTCTACCAACACAGGTGCAAAAATTCCTGCAATATGAACAATCAAGAACGAAATCCATTTAGACACAAATGTTATTTTGTAAAACCTAACAAATATGTAAAACAATTTATGTAAAAAAGCCATAATTAAAGGAATATGGCAACATAGTGGAAGAACTTTTAAAATTATATGCAAATCTCCTTTACCGATTTTGTGTAACTTTATTATTTCTTGAGATATTTGAACAGAAAAAATCACAAATCAGCTAGCATTCCGCCATCTTGGATTTTAGCGGATATATTATTTTAATTAAGTGAAAATATTTCAAAAACTAAGCAAGATGCGAATAAACGGTAAAGAAGATTTGCATATAATTTTAAAAGTTCTTTCAAATGAAATATATATATATATATATATATATATATATATATATATATATATTATATATATATTATATATATATATATATTATATATATATTATATATATATATATATATATATATATATAT